CAGGGGTGACTGGCACTGCCAGGGGCAGAAGCCGCTGCCGGTGGGTTTTGAGGGGTGCAGGGCTTGCCCCCCCACCCCTGCCTGCCCGGAGCCGGCTGCCCTCGCCCACCCCCGCCACGGGGACTCGGGACACGTCCCAGCCGGTCCGGTCCCATCGCTGCCCCAGGATGAACTCTGCCTCCGGCCCTTCGGCTCGGGGGACCGGGGAGGGCGGTGGCTGGCGGGGCCGAGTCTCGGGGCGAGGGTTTGTTTTGGCTCTTCTTTGCAGGGCTCCAGCCAAAGCGCTCTTTGGCCCCACCGGGCCGCTTGCTCTCAGCGCGGGGCTGTGACTAAGCAGGGCTCCGTGGCAGAGCTGCTTCCCACCGATGGAGGAAGAGGAGAGGCGGCTCCCCTCCCCCTCGTCCCCGGTGCCCGCCACCGGGCCCGTGATTCATCGCCCGCGGCCGCCCGGGCCTTCGCAGGCTGGGAGAGATCGCTGCCGGTTCCCGGCAATGCCGCGAAATGCCGCTCGCCCTTTCTCGGCGGCTCTTGAACAAACCGGCTGCAGATCCCCCGGCTGCGCTGCCCGAACGGCGCGTCCTGCGCTGCAGACATATTGTCTGTGTCCCGCTCGCCGCCTCCGCAGCCTTCCCGCCCGCCCCGGCGCGCAACCCGGCTCGGCCTTTCCTTCCCTCTTGAGGCCATCGCTGCCCGGGGAGGGGGGGCTGGCTGCTCCCGGCCACACCGGCCTCTTCTGCGGTCAGCCGGGCCCCCCGTACCCCCTGCGTGGTTTGGTTTCCCGGTGCGGGGAGGCGCTTGCCTCTCTACCGCGAGCAGAGGACGGTGCTGGGGGAGCACGGGGGGCTCTGCAGCACATCCCGCTCCGGGGACCATCCCCGATCCTTCTCATTTGGGTGACCCACATGGCTGAGCAGCCCAAGGCTGCTCCCTCCAGGTCTCACTGCCCAGCATGGGTCGGAGCCCCTGGACCCCCCAGATGTGCCATGGTGTGGTCGCCAGCGGGGCCGGGGTT